TTCACAAGCCGACATGGCGTCAAAATCGAGAAGACCACAGTCGAGATATTTGTCGCCGCGACCTACATGCTAGATTAAAGCATTAAAGCACAGTGACAGCTTTAGAAATCGTTTTTAGGACAGGACTGACGCACCTGAGGACTTGACGCCCTTGAAGAGAGAGAGATAGAGCATGCTGTAGACAAGCAGCAGGCAAAGGACCAGCTGCCACTTGGGGTAGCCCATCTCATGGAGACCACCGCTCCGCTGCATTTCCAGGACGGCACGGCTGCAAGCACACAGCGGTGTTTGTTAATTTCACGACTTTTATAAACTGCTTATGTTATTTGGCGTTAAAGGATGAATTGGGGAAGGAGTTGGTTACTCAGCTGGTCAGAAAAAGAATTATTTGTGTTTTTATAGAACCAGATAATTTATTAATGTATGGCGGAATACGATGTTCATCTTTTATTAACTAAATGAGAGTACTGTTAACTTCTTAAGGAGTTGGTTACTTTGCTAGTTACTAACTTTCTTTCGTTAACAGGTTTACATATAGCTCAATAACTTGTGGATTTGTTGTTTTATCAATTATTCGTTTAAAGTTAAACATTTATTTTAGATGGTTGTTAATTTTTCATTATACAGCGTAATGTAGCATTACAAAGATATACGTGATTCGCACGAAATATATGGGCAGCACAAGGGCCCAGAGTCCCTGTTCACCATTGCATGTTATGTAGCACGTCAGTTGAAGCTCTTCTTAATAGATATTTAAATAGTTCTTACCTGGAAGACCACATAACTATTACAAAGACCGAGCGGTTAATGCTCTTCAAGGAAATTATCGCTGTTTTCTCTGAGGATCACACGAAATTGAAATATACAAAACATAGAATTGTTGATTTTTAATCTAGGTGGTACATATAGTTACCACGAGGATTTAGTGGTTTAAGGACTAGCCGAAATTTGGCAGAATGGAGTATTTCATGCATCATTTTTATGACAGGACTGTAAATGAATGAAACATTTTTAAAATGAGTGATTTGTTCGAAGAACGTAAGAGGAAAGATCATACTGATGTTGACGATTCGAGTAAAATTGTAAATGTGTAGGCTGTGTATTTATTGATTTGTTAAGTGGGAATATGGATGTTACATATCAAAAGGGATGAGATAAATAGGAGAACGCATGGGTGGCATAATGGAATGACGATCGAATGATTGGATAAATGGAAATGTTGAAGTAAATGGATCGCGGATTAACTATTGATGTTTGCAGTAGGGTTTGTGACTATATTTAAACAAGAGTGAAAATGAGCGATGTCTTTCAATCGAGTTGTGTGATGTCTTATTTATCACATTGTCCTTGGACATCCAATTAGTGTCGATGCAAGTCTTGTAGCAGGATATTTAAGATACGTTACTTATTTGTACTTTAAATGCGAATTTCCACTTGTATAAAATTTACAGGATGTCTCTCTGAGACCATTTTACCTCAATAAACTTTTTTACGTATATTTTCTTTGCTTTGTCATTAATATTCACACAACGTAATATTTACATCCTGAATAAACATAGCATATGTATATCATATTCAATTTTACTGTTCATGAAGTTTGTGGAGATGAAACATGCACACGGAGAGAGACATTTCTAATTATGCGTTAAATTTATGCACCTTATGCAAACAACTCTAAAAGAGACTTCGTTTCATGTATTCCCAAAGATATTTTTTTTATTAATCAGGCATTGGTATGAAAATAACTGATATAACACGAAATTGTTTCATGATTTTTCTTCTTTAAAGTGACGAACAGTTCAGCCCTGAAGATGAATGCAGTATGTTCTTCTGAAATGCGGGTACCAACCTACAAGTCCATACGGCGTCAACCCAGAAAACCGCCATCCACATCTTCACTATGGTATGTCAGATATATTAATTCCACATATGTACAAAAGGGGCATACATGCAGTATACAGTATTTAGATCAAATGTGTGGTACTTGGAGAAAGTAATGTTTTTCAACATCTCAGTAACTGTATCAGGGAAACATGTGCTAGCTTTAATGTCCATCTTCTTCCAGTGCTTTTGGATAACATAATTATATTCACGATATACATTTATTTATGGTTTATTTAACGGTGATATCAGTAGCTCATACTATATTCTTGATTGATACGATAATTAATGATAAATTGGAAAGCATATTGAAAGAATCTGCTGTGATCTAATTTAAGATAATATTTCGCCATTTATTAGGAAGGACTAACGAAAAACACGTGTAAACGCTGTCAGGATAGTCGGTATTCGTGTCGACATTTGAACCAGGGACTTCTAGAATAAGATTCAAGAGTGGTATCCACTCAGCCGCGACGTTTGGTTTCACGGAATAGACCAAGCGTGTTCCGTCTCTTCTGACTCCTTTGTCCTTTATCATCTGCAAAACTACTCATGGGAATTGGCATCTTTCCCATATTTTCCAGATGTATCACATGTCTGCATTCTTGCATTCGGTCCAGCATGTCAGAACGTATAAATCTCGTTTTATGTAGCACTGTATTTAAGTGACATCGGAATGTGTATATCTTTTTTTACTCTTGTTCAGAAATCGCATTTCGCCTTGCTAAAATTGTTGCCGAAAGAAATGTTGACAATTACTAGTAGTACTGCCAGGCCGCTGATAGATGGGGACACTTAGAGTTCTGTGAGGGTAAGAGAGGCACTTACTGGAAGTACTCTGAGGCCGGTGAGAAGTAGAGTTTCCCCGCGCCGCCGCCTGCAGCGACGCTGCCCACACTGGGGCTCGGGGCGTCGACGGATATGTTGGCGCTACCATTGTTGCTAATGTCACCCGTCCCGTTGAGCTGGCTCTCCGTGCACCAGTCCGTGTTCCACGTGTTGTTACAATGGAGCCAAGGCAGGTCGGGTGTGGCGCTCGCCACTAGGAAGTACAGGGCCCAGCCAATTATCACGTTGTAGTAGAAAGACACGTAGAATGCTACCAGTACAGCGCAGAAACCCACACCTGCAAGAGACGACAGAACGCGGTTACCTGTGACGGGTTAGGATTCCAGTACCGAGATTCGTTTCTACACAATAAATTTCCAGAATGTGTCTGCAATGACGTAGATGCTCATAATTATTCCACGCGGATTTAAAATAATAATAATAATAATAACAATAACAAAAGTTTTGTTGGCAATTGTGAGAAGGCTGCCATTGCTCATTTCAGTGGCGGAACAACTCGGTTTAGCTAGTGGGTCACCAGTGTTCCGCGAGTCATAGTTTGAGAACTATCGCTTTAAGATACATTTCCATTCCGTGTGCGTTAATGATTAGTGATTGCTCACCTTTAAACAGTGGACAAATCCTCCAAACACTGATGGGTCCCTGCCTGTTGTACTGGCCAAGGATGAGTTCCATATAGAACAAAGGAACCGCCCCGAAGACCATCATCAACGTGTAGGGGATCAGGAAGGCTCCTGTCACGACGTAATAGAATCGTAATGAATAATTTATGTTGGGGGTGGAAAACTACGGCTTGTTAAATGTGCAATTCATTTTTAACTACAGACTCTTCTGTCCATGATAAGTTCGAAATAGATCCACCTGCCTTTCGGCTAAAAATAATTTATTACTCATGATCTATGCAAATGCATCACACAGGAATATTAACAAAATATTATTCGTTACCCAGTAGAAATGAAATAAACGTTTGTTGGGAAGCAAAGCGATGAATGTTACTATAATGATTATAATTTCATGTGGATCTAGTAAAAAAAAAAATTCCTTTGACAGTTTTGACTGCGTATTTAAAATTTTGCGATATTAACCCTTCATACCAACTGCTTCTACTCTTATGTCTCTTGATTTCGCTCACAGAAAAAAAGAGTAAATATTTTTTCCTAAATATCGTTTAAATACATCTGTGACATTAATGAAATTGTATTTACTTGAGGGTGGGAAACACATTCTAACATGCTGTTTGGATAAGTTTTTTTTCCCTCTTTGAAGTGTTATTAAAATATATTTAATTCCTTATTCCGAAAACACGATGTTTTGTTTTGAACATATTTAAGCATATGCTACATTATTACAACAACTCTTGATATATAATTCATTTCATCATGAATATGTAACTTTCCTGTAAATAAATTATTGAAACTAGTGGTTCTGTGAGCTTACGTATAGAGATGTCTGTAGGTTTAACTGTTATTCCAGCCTTGGCTTAAACACAGAATCTAGTATTCCGAGGCGCTACAGAATTACGATAGGACAAACATTCTCCATACTTTAATTATTAAGTTAATCTGTACAATATGTATAAATGCTACGTAATTTATTAAAATGTTACTGAATTAAGTCGTGGCGATGTGAGGTGGGTGAAAACTATTCGAGACTTTATCCAATAAGAAACTTTTGTGTCAGTCGCTTTGGAAATACGGGCTACATTATCAGTTGTTTGTACAGTTAGTCACTCAGTTTGCAAGATTTACCTCCGCCGTTTCGGTAACAGAGATAGGGGAATCGCCATACATTGGCGAGGTCGACGGCGAAACCGATGATAGACAGCAGGAAGTCCGCTCCGCGGCCCCAGGTCTCTCTGCCGTCTCTACTTGTTGCTGCCCCACCGTCCACGGCACACGGGCTTCCAGAGGGCACTACCAGCGCCTCGTACCCCTTTTCGCCTTCTTCTAACTGTACTTGTAGGTCTTCTGCAAGAAATCGGGGTTCAAATTATTTGTGACGAAGTTCCAGACGACTTTCTGTGCTGTCATAGTAGAATAAACTTTGGTTAACTCATAATTTTTCTACATTTTTCATACGATGAAACAAAATTGATGTTTTGTTTATTTTTGTAAAAGTAAAGTTTGTCCCATTATACGCCATGTAGGCGTTTGGGGTGAGAGGAGATATAGCTCCTCTCTTTCTTGACCTCGGCACTAGATGGGGGTGAGTGGTCAGCATCACGCCCCGGCCGGCTTTACCCCCAGGAAAGGACCCCCGGTACCCATTGTAGAGGAGGCTGGGTGGGCCCCAGAGCCGGTCTGGACGCAGAGGCTAGAGGAAACATCCTCTGCCCCCGTCGGGGATCGAACCCCGGCCGTCCAGCCCATAGCTAGTCACTATACTGACTGAGCTGTCCCGGCTCATTGTTTATTTTTGTAATAAATTTAATTATTCGAGGATCTCACGGCGGTTAGTACACAGGTGGCTGTCTTCTGAGATGTAGCGCCGTATCAAGGTCATTGTCCTGATAATGGAGGCAGCAAGGACCTCTGAAACGTTGGTAAACTACTACCAGACTACACCGCGCTACATCCCAGAAGATTGTCATTTAAAACAGAAGAATAACCACTTCTGATTTCAGAATATGTACAATTTTACTTTTCTTATGTTTAAAATATATAATAAAATTCAGGTCAATACACAAAACTTTATTTGGATGTTAAAATTTAAAATTTAAATGTTAAAATTTTAAATTTTAAATTTGCGCCATTCATCACTATAAGGATGTTACATTAGAGCGCTTTCATTCATTTCACAACATGTTTCGATGTAATACATCATCTTCAGGTGTTGTTTTTTAAAACTATTTTATATTATAATGCATGCCTTTCAATATATTCATTATTGTAACATGTGTTCCGCTGATCCTCCCGTTTTACGCATCTTATGTTTGTTTTGATTATTCTGTAAATTTTAACATCCAAATAAAGTTTTGTGTATTGACCTGAATTTTATTATATATTTTAATCAAAAACACAAACATGACGCATATAAACCTTAAATTTTCTTATGTTGTTCGTAATAAGATGTATCAATCAGGTAATATGACGATATTTATGTAAACTTGACAGGGTATTTGTAAACCCGTGATATCACGTGTTAAACTGAACTCCCATTAAAATTTAACTAACTCCATGGATCAGTGTCCTTGAGGATAGGTAGAAAATACGCTCAGCTAGTAAGAAATTCTCCGTCTGTTAATGGAACCCTAGGTCCATTTCCAACCGTGGCAGCTCTGGTAGCAAGAAATGCAAACGAGGCTATGGTGATATCAGGCCGCGTCTGCATTTTACAGAAGTCCGAATTTTTGCGGGCAGCTTTGTATTGGAGCGTTTGGTAGCAATAAGGCTTCGGTCGCGTGAAGTTTTCACACATAATTTACCTTAAAAAGACATTTTATAAATATTGTACTTTTAATGCGATTTCCAAAGATAATACTGCAATAAATTGTACTGCTGTTCAACACAAAAAAATGTGATTCCCGTCAACTTTGATGGGCCATACTACACCCGTGTCTTAATAATTACTGTCTCATCATTGGGTCAGAGCACATAGTCCATATTCTTAGCAAAGAGGGCATTGTAAGATGAGTTGACTATATATCCCGAGCTCTCGAATGCCGAAAAATCGACCGGCGTTCGACTGTTTTTCCCATCGCCTATATTACTCACAAGCTCATGTCATGGAATGTGCAGCGTACATGCCATTGTAAGCGGCAATAACTTATTCCGAATCGCTGCTATGCCGAAGCAAGAGCTCGACATGGAATGCACGCTTCATCACTGATATGTAAGTAATCGACCTGGAAGATCTTCCTGGATCTTATTAGAAACACCAGCATGGTGTCTCATATTCGGAGGGCTTGCGAATATAATTCCAGGAACGCATATTCTGACTTAGGATTCCTCATTTACAATGAGGTCCATCGGTTCTCCACGATTTTCCTGCACTCTTGTGAGCAATAAAGTGACGCTCCGGATCTTTCAGAACAGAATGGGTTCAGGCCTGATTATATTAACAACATGGAAGGCAGTCCTTCCTGAGAAGCTTCTAGTCGCTCAGACTGTCAAAAAAAATTCCGACACTGGTATCGTAAAAGTGTAGTTCTATTGGCATTTTCCGGTTCAATTATGTTTTGGTCACCATATTATTGGTTTATTTAACCACGCCCTCACTAGCTCGTAATATACATTGTCGAACGATAGGATGTTCAGTAACGAATTGGAAGGGAATAGGTGACGTAATTTAAGAGGCTATCCCGGAAATATTCCTTGAGAAATTGAGGAAAACCACGATAAACCTCAGGATAGCCGGTCAACAATTACTCCATTCACACACAGAAGAAGGCAATGGCAAACCACTTCTGGATCATCTGCCAAGAACGTATATGAACAGGTCCCAGTCCGAGAAAAGGATGGAAGGATCATGCTCATATGGATCTGTCGTCAGACAGAACACTAAATAAATAAAAATAGCCCGTCTACTTTCCGAGATTTTAACCTGGTACTTCCTGACCGACGTATTTTGCGTTTAAAAACTTTCTTCTAGTCCGTTCTTGAAGAGAATGAGGAAACCTAGCGAAAATCTTGGACTAGGTACAAGATATTTTGGCTGACTACCCGCTGGTTTCGTAGATATTACTTGCACCTACACAGTGCAGGAAATGAGAAAAAGCTAGAAAGAGCGAAATATAAGAATATCATGCACTTACTTTTGTTGGGCCATGTGAAAGTTGGTGGCAAATTTGAAGGTTTGGAACTACTGGTCATGTTCCGTGTTAGTTTGAGCCGAGCAGCGGCCGCGCCGGATTGAACCTGAGGGAGTCCTGTGAAGAGAAACAGAAAATAGAAGAAGAAACAGAAACAGGCAAAAAGACAGCGACAGAAAGCGTAGCTCAGTCAGTACAGTGACTGGACAACTGGGGTTCGATCCCCGACGGGGGCGGAGGATTTTTCCTCCAGCCTCTGCGTCCAGACCGGTTCTAGAGTCCACCCAGCCTCCTATCCAACGGGCACCGGTGTCCTTCCCCGGGGGTAAAGCGCGGCCGGAGCTAGACGCTGACCACTCACCCCACCTAGTGCCGAGGTTACACCCTCTCCTCCAAAGCGCCTACATGGCGTATAGTGGGACAGCTTTACTTTAATTTTTTTACAGCAAAGAACGAGAGGAAAACGAAAGCGGTATTTTTCATTCTCCGATAGGTGTCTCCCACAGTAAATCAGATCAGTTGGCGCAATCGCGAAACAGCCCATTCTTACTGTACATTCGCTTAAAATTTCTTGTACTCGTGTTTCGTGGTACAGCTTCTACACGTCGCTAAAATGATCGAAGCCATTCTTACTTATTTGTCAGTAAAATAGAATTTTATTATATTCAAAACACGCGTTTCAATACGAACGTTCCTCAGAATCTAAGAATTTGTCAGTCGGTACTATACCACTGGAGCGTAGATGATTACGGAAAACATGTACGATTAAATATTTTGTAACAGCGTTATTGAAACCTGCTTAATTTCCAAGCTCATATTTAATTTCCGTGTAACACATCTGTGTTCTACACACAATTATTTTTAATCTTCCGCATTAAAATACATTTCTAATTACGAAATAGATTGCCATGAAATGTGTTTGTGAGAAAGTGGTTTATTTGCCCGTTCGTGTGACCAAGTCTGTTTAGCTGTTCCAACGACATATAAATCCTTTGAAATAAGCCGACTTAATGAATGGGAAGAACACTGTACTGGTCGCCCGTCAGAGCTGCTAGTAGCCCGCAATTTGATTACGTCAGCTACATTCTTGATTCCCAATACCAGAGCGTCATTACGCTTCCATTGCTAACGCAATAAAGAGAGTTAGGAATCTCAGTCTGCAGAAACTCATCGCGTGGGGTGCCCCTAGAGGAGTCGCCCAGCAGTTAAATCAGAAAGAGGCCGAGTTTTTCAAGGTACAGTGCACCTGACATGGACCGCTGCGTGAAGCTGTGAACATTAAAAAATTTAAATAAATAAATAAAATAAAAGGCATATTCCAACTTCAAACGAGCTATAGTTTAACGTACTTCTTGTTTTTTTATCTTAATTTATTGTTTACATATCTACTGTTAATAAAGTCTTCTCGGGCTATCAGCCGTGTTAGATGGCGGTTAATCACCATCTAACACGGTTGATAGCCCGAGAAGACTTTATTAATGAAACCCGCCGTGAAAGCTTCACATAATATATCTACTGTTGATCAACAATAGATATACTATATTTCATTCATCATAAATCATACTTCTGATAAAGCTGATCCCGAGTAGAAATAATGTTCCATGTGTCGCCATCAGTTCTACTGCTAAATATAATTGTTTTGATAGACCTAAACTGTCATGCAGAATTTCAGCTCGCGAGATGAAGGCAGTATGTTCCTCCGAAACGCTGGCAAACGGGTAAAATGCTACACGGTGCAGAAACCCAGAAAACAACAGTCTGCTATCACATCGACGTGGAAACCCATTGGGCAAAGCACGTAATATAGAATTGGAGTGGGGGGCGGTTCTCGACACTTCCGTCGATGTACATATATTTATTTATGTATTGAATCTCGCGCAATTTCGCCGTTCGCGGCCGACCACTTCTCCGACAGTTGTGTGTAGCGTGAAGTCGAAACATAGTATTGCAGGCGTTACAGGAATCGGAGAAAGTTTGTGCAAAGTATAAAAATTCTGGTCTGACCTGGAGTTTAATGCATAACTATTCATATAGAGCTGAATTTTTTTTAAATTTGTTCCTGCAATAGCAATATGTGATGTAATTTTTATCTAGAAAACTTAAATTGTACGGCAGTGTATTAGAGTCAACAGCATTGTGACACTTGTGCGTAAAGCAGTAGATGAGGTAGAATTATTTTCAGAATTTTCTGAGTAAGGACAATAAACGAGCTTATTGTAATCAGCAACAAATTAAATAATTTCGCGTGCCTTGTTACAAGAGGTCCTGGGCCGGATGTGGCTCGCGGACCGCCAGATTTACCGTAGTTCTAACGTGGTGGAAGTCTGTCGTAAGTCGTTTTAGAATTACGACAAATGTTAAGGCCGCGGAGCCAGTTCAGCCAACTTTTTAGGCAGAAAAACTGCTGAAATCGCGTGTTTGAATCCTGAATAATGCATGAGCATTTTTATTCATTCTTCCATTTGGGAATTAGAGCTTGCTTGTAATTCTCTAGTAATTCTTATTGGGCAGTCAGTTACGGTATTCTATGTTTTTAAATAGCCTGTATTCAGAAAAAGATTCTGAATCTCTTTCGTTTATTACATTAGTCTTGGGGTCCTTAGCCGCTGCCACATAAGAACGACATCGCGTTTGGGCATTATACGACGATCTTGTCGTAAATTAATTTGTGAGTTCGTAAATGTAATGGGTTTTAAATTGTGTGGCATACATTATACGGTATTCATTTATCTGCCGCAGAATAGAAGTGGTTGAGGTAAGATCTTTACGTGGAGGGCAGTAGTAACGACGAATTAACAGTTCCACTCATTCTTCACGTTTTATTTCTCCATCATCAGCCAACCCACTGGATGCGTGCAACAGCGGCATCCTAATAAAATCGGCCAGGATTTTTTAAGTAATTATTATCATGGATATAAGAAGACTAGATGGAAAATAACATATAAATTTGCCTCACTTGTAACCGTCACTGTTATCCGATAGATAATTATTGAAATATTTTTAAACATTTGAAACACATTGGTAACTATATGTACCGCGCCGTCTGCTTTAACAGTCAGTAATTCTCCTCTTTCCGTGATGGTACTTCTGGGTTTCGCGTGCTTCTCAGAATAAGAAGAAAAAAAAAGATTATTTCCCTAAACGCATTCACCATTTGATCTTAGTAACTGAGACGCGTTGTTTTTTATTTGAAGCAGAAACTGAACTTTAAAACTGCTTATCTTAAAATCGTGACTCAAAATACCAAAAATGTGTCTGTATGTATGTATGCATGCATACACATACTGTTACTGATTTTGTTAAAAAGATCATAGTCCAGAACAAGAGTAACTTGTTCTACTCAGGCTTCATAGCGCCATGTATTTCGATCCCTTATGCCACTCTTTCTTTAAATAGTTAAGCTATTCGTCTCTCCCCCCTCTCTCTCTCTCTCACCCCTTGCCTGCTCTCATCAAGTCTTCATCATCACGTTTAAGCGCTTTGGATCTAAGGTATTTGGCGGACTGCCTATCCGGTATTTCTTGGCTATTTCATTCCCATTGCTCCAGTGCGTATTTAAGGACGTTTTTGCTGTGAAATATTTGTTACACGAGCATACATACATATATATTGTTAACACACAAACGTTACTATATGTAATTAAAGGAAGATATGTTTTGTTTATAACATGCCACGATATTTTCCAGTTAACAGGTAGGAATTTACTCCTTATCTCCACAGTTTTACGTATCTAAAATATTCTGTTTATAATTTTAGCTATCCGTAAAGCATGGTTATATTTGATATAGTCACGTTATCGGCCTGCGTCTATATATATAAAACTAGTTTTAATCAAGGATTTTTACCAGATTTGGTATGAAAGTTATGCCATTGGAGGTTACTGTAACTTCGTTTTGTGATTTATTACAATCAGTAATAGCAACACGACGAAATTAATGTTTACAAGGTGAGAGCGACGCTATCGTCAATTAATGTTACGTTCTGAAATACCTGGTAAGAAGAAACATGCTTCTTGTGTAAAGGTACTTTTTATAGAGTGTAAAACAGTAATATGTCGATTGTGCCAAAAATGTAATGTGCCTTCCTGTCCAACAGCGACACATCTCCATTACAAAGATCAGTTGGTTAGTTAATGATGTATATATAATATATATATGTAATAACCGTTAATTATGAGAAATAATCAAAAGCTTTTAGTGTACTCTCTGGCCGAAATGACAATTTTTAACGCAAATTAATGTGATAGGGTTCATGAGATAGTATAGTTGCGTCATATTGTGATATTAATTAAAATAATTATTATATTTGTTTACCGTCAAATCACAATAAAATAGTAAGATAAGATAATTAAAATGATTAAAATATCATCTTATGTTCCATATCGAGCATTCGATTTACATCGGAACATTCACAACATGTTTCGGTTTATCAAACCGTCATCAGGTGTAAATTATAAACTTTTAAACTCAAATTACAATTATTTATAGTTTTTATAATTTTATCATCTTTCTCAGTATATTTTATGGAAGTTGTGTCTAGATATTATTAATATAACATTATTGTTGAGGTGGTGTTATTGATGTTTATACCAGTCATATATGAAATAGCAATCGGTTCAGAGGAGAGATCCAGAAGCGTTACCATCTCAGAACAAGGTTCGTTATTGACTATTAATGTGTTACATATAGTTACCACCATCCTTCAAATTCTGGTAGTTAAAATCTGGTCATTACCAATTTGGATATCTGATTATGTAAGTGACAGGTAGCTGCAGTACCGACCAGCATGTAAGACCCCTTCTAAATGCATTCTTGCGGTGAACGCGTTCTGTGCCTCTCAGCTATTCAGAACGGGCAGACGACAAAGTGAGCTGCTATATCGATGAGCGTAGTGTCTCGCGGTAGTTCCACTTTTGCATAGGGCTATGTGAGCCTGTCTGTTTTTCACTGCATTCAGCCTTGCCCCTTCTATCACTGGTCCATCACGGATATCACGTGAGCAGCATTGACCCTCATAGAGCTTGAAGCTGACATCGTCCATAATGTCTTCATTATAGATGTCCCATTTCTTGCACTCAGATATATTTACTGATAGTGTTGACTGACGATGTGACTGAG